CGGTTCATCGTCATATGCGAAGTCGTTTAAATGCTCGACATAACCCACGGATTCCGAGCTCGAATCAGATACGCATTCAGACATCGAATTCGAATTATCTGAGCACTGATTTGAAGCCATACTTTCCGGACAACTTGTTTTTTTAATATTTTATTGAAAATACTGTCATTATTTGTTTTTAACACAAGAAAAACGACAACAAAATCACCTCCTATAATATAATATTATATTGACGGAAACAGACGTGTTCAACTATCTACGTCACAAGTATCAATATGGCGTCGTAAAAAATTCGCAAAAAGTACCCGACTTTGGAAGCAAAATTAAGGAACTTATATTTATCTGTTTAAGTCCAGCGACATGTCATAGTTCTTCAAATAATCCAAATTTTCAATTAAGCTAATAAAAAAGGGGGGCTAAAATTCGTGATATAACCCCTTTAAAGGTCGCTGATATGCATGGCGAACTTATTGAACTCAATGAAAGACTACAAAAAATGTTGAACGCTCGTGAATGTCAGCTAAGAAAATTAAAAGAAGAGCTTGTCAATCTTAGAGGACCGGTATGTTCAGTAAAGACCTGTGTGTTCATTATAGTACAATAGATGTACAATATTGATCGGTATGTACAATATGAACTGTTTGGTATGAATATGAAAAGCAGTAAATATTCTTTTTATTTTCTAAGTATTTCTTAATAAAACTACGTATCTTCGTATGTTCTAGCTTCCTCAGGACGATAATCATGATGAATGTTTATATTTGACGGAGTTTGGTCCAAATTTCATGTCTGTCAATACTCGTCCTTTAATTAACATTTGGATTCCATCTGTTTTTGTACAAGGAAAGTCTCCAAACATTCACCATTCTTATCAGGTGCAATTTTTTCCATATATTTATCTCTAAAAAAAGTAAATAACTCTTCCGATATGATGTTGATGGTTATCTGGAGTAGGTTAGGGATAACTAGGGACTATATTTCAAGATTTATGATCTATATTTGGTATTTCCTCGTTTCAAATACATCACCCTTGAGAAAAGTGTTTGTGGTCATCGTATTTAAAAGATCATGTCGTAGTTTGAATTTACGTAGATGACACAATCACAGCACTACATGCAGACGAGATTGATTACTTCCATACTCACATCAACAAACAGAACAGCCACATACAATTTACCAAAGATGTCGAAGAAAACGGAACTTTTCCTTTTCTCGACTGTTTGGTAAAACATGACAATCAAAAACTAGGAACAACGGTTTATCGCAAGCCAACACATACTGACCGACTACTAGACCAATCATCTTACAACCCTACATCACACAAAGCCACCACAATCAGAACATTAACAAGACGTGCACAAATCATATGTGATTCACCGGACGCTCTACAAAACGAAAACAACTATCTCAAACGTGTTTTTGACAAAAACAACTATAACTCTGACTTTATCAAACGCAACACTTACAAACCTAACCAACCCAACGAAACGAACAACTCAGTGACAACAACAAAGATACCTTACATCAAAGGTACGTCTGAGACTATCCCGCGTATCTTACGACCATACAACATACGTGTCGCACATAAACCAATCACAACGTTACGACAAGTACTAACGAACATAAAGGACAAAGAACAACCCAACGAACGACAAGGTGCAGTTTACAAAATAAACTGCTCCGACTGCCACGCCTCCTATATCGGGGAAACTGGCAGGAACTTAAACATAAGACTTACTGAGCACAAACGAGCTACTAAGAAACAAGACAAAACTAATCACATTGCCGAACATCACCGAATCACAAAGCACAACATTGACTGGGACTCGGCAAAATGCATCACTTACAGTACTGACTATGGGGCAACGGCTTACATTAGAAAGTTGGTATACCAACTTGGAACAAACCCCCCTGAACAGATGACAGCAATTACCGGCACCTTACAAACGACTTATTCACAATACAAACAAACGATCAACTAAAAACATTACACTTCAAACTAATTCACAATGACAATACACAATTGACACCCACACATTACAACTAAAAACGTCACACCTAAATCACACATCACAACTAAAAATAAAATATTTCACTTCACACTAATCCACAATGACAATACACATTTCCTGTACACACAATACAATGACGTAAGAACCAGATAACAAATACGGCTAACCTGACGTTTACTCCTCATTTGACTCTGAAGATGACTACCGCTAAGATTGTCGAAACGTCAGTCAACAACAACAAAAACAGTCCTTCTCAGGACTTTATTAACCTGGACGATCATCATTTACAAACATATATTTCACTTCTCATATGTATATGTTTAGTGGTGTTGAGAAAAAATCACAAAACTACAGATTCATCCCGACAAGCCTGTTTCGTGACTGCTCACTCTTCAGGGGATTTTCCTTTAATCACGAAACAGGCTTGTCGGGATGAATCTGTAGTTTTGTGATTTTTTCTCAACAACACTAAACATATTTACGCTCTGCTCTAGGGCATCGAGCACTGTTTTATACAGAGAATCATCAAATATAAATTTCCTATGTATATATATAGCATCTGCTTAGTGGTCCATTTATTGTCTTCAATAAAGAATTTAACATCGTTTACTTCACAAGGTATATATCCGTATCAAAGACGATGAATGGAATGTTTACAAAAGATACTCGGATTTTTATGCCCTACATAAGAAGGTTTTTAATAAACATCAGTATTTTAATTTTTTTAATCATATTGTTTTGCCGTAATGTACAATCCCTTCCTTTTCCTTTTTATGCACAGACAAGCAAGCAGTTTAAACCTGTTGCACAATTCACGTTTCCCGCGAAGAAAATTATTGGAAATCGTGACGTCAATTTTGTGGAAACACGTCGGAAACAATTGGAAAATTACTTGAGAAAATTGATCAATTATAGTCTGGGTGCTGTTCCAGAGTTAGGGGAAAGTACTTGCAAGAGTTCTTTGTTCAAATACTTTCCATTTTTCATGTGAGTAAACACGTGATCATGTTTTGAGTGTAATTTATTGTTCAATATACAGAATATTAAACGATTTTTTAGTGTGAATGTTTGTAAGGCAAGAATAGACGGAAAAAATTGAAAGTCAAAACAAGAACATAAAGCAATCAAGCGCATGCGCTGATTGGTCTATAGCTGTGTTTTCATTAGCTTGTGCAAACCGATCTGAGCTCAACAAATCAAATCAATCAAAAAAAATTCGCAAATCAATCATGAATGTATTTTAGAGGAAAAATTAAAACGTTTGTTTTAAATTTGTCTGTTTCGCATTATTGATATTTTTTTAAAAAGATATTTTTCGTGTTTGCACTGGCTTATGCAAACCCTTGGAGACGTTTGTAAGAACTCTTGAGCAGGTGCAACACTCTACCTTCGGTTTTGGGCTTGCACTGATCTGCTCTCGTGTTCTCCCAAAGGTCTCCTCGTTTTGCATAAGCCCGTGCAAACACAGTAAAAATCTTTTATTTCGTAATAATACAACACAAAGAACTCAAACTTTGGCTTGTTTTAGAAAGAAAATCAAAATGCTACTACCTATTATTTCATAAATAGTTGATCAATTTTTCTTTAAACTTTCAGCAAATATTTTACAGGCAAATTTCAACGGTATCATCTGTTTCAACAACGACATCGACAAAACAAACTGTTCCTTCTGCACATAATGGTTAAAAGGCAAAACTTGTAGGACGTCTGTCGAAAAAAACAGAGCATAGAAATTGTATAAGTTATATTGTATATATATATCACACTCATTGTAATACGGAAGAAGCCAAAAAAACAGAACGCAAGTACTTATACTCCACATTTATTAAAAACAATTACCCTAGAAACTTCATAAACAAAACTATATACAAAATACAAAACAAAACACAAACCGACAAAAACAACAAAAAACCGGACGAAACAGTAAAAATCATCACATTACCATACATAAACGGAACATCAGAAATGACTGCCAGACTTCTTCGACCACATAATATTAACGTCGCCCACAAACCTACACAAAAACTCAAATCATGTTTCACCAAACATAAAGACAAAACAACAATTCATGATACAACTGACGCGATCTACATGATACCATGTAAAGACTGTTCAAAACAATACATAGGACAAACATCTAAGAAAATTGAAACAAGACTCACAGAACACAAAAACGCCATAAAACGACGAGATCCGAACTCACTACCGGCAGAACATACCCACGGAAACAATCACACATTCGACTGGACAGAAACTAAAAACGCGCACAGACTAAACACGCACGCGAATTTAAGGAAGCTTGGTACAGTGAAGACAACGACACAATAAACAGACATATCGACATACCCATCATATACTCACAACTAAAGAAAAAGGACAAAAAAACTACAAACAACACCAAAACTAAAACACTACACCCCAATATTATTAACACCAACCATATTAACAACACACAAAAACCCATGGCAACGCATTTCACTCCATCCAATCACATTAATCCACCCACTCATCCAATTAGACGCTCTAAACGTCTCCAAGCTAAAAAAGCACGTGTAAATAATATTTTTCATTCTGATGAAGGCTCGAAGCAACGAGTCGAAAGCTCAATAAAAATCATTTAAAAATCCGGAGAAACGTTTTATCTTTTATATATATAACATACGTATAGTTCAGTATATATAAATATAATATGTCTACAAAGTAGAAGAATTTCATGATGCATCAACTTCAAGGACTCTTTATTGTATGTGTTATATACAGATATAATTTGTCAGTATTTGCTACTATATAATAGTACATCATACTGGGTTTTAACAAGTTAAAACATAATATTTAACTTGAAATGAAAACAATCGTATATTAAATACATCACACGAAACGTACTATGCTATTAAATGGTGTGCTATCTCAGCACGATTTGATCAATTTACATATTCCGCGTCACCCAGCTCTTGCTGGCGAATGTTTATACCACTTAACACGTGACCGATTTTGATCAATACGTCATATGACTTTTTGGCTATCTTTCCCGCGCTATGTGTAAAGAGATTTCTTGCTGAAACAATCTTTATCGTAAGTATTACGTAAAATATTTCATTTGTAAGTTTCAAATGATTACAGTGAGTAATATAATCTTTTTATTTCAGAGAAGAAGCGTAACGTATACAGTCGTTATTGTAAGTATTGTACAAAATTTCTAAGAATAGGATTTACTACTTCCTACATGTATGTATTGTAATATGAAGATGTCTTCAGCTAAAAACGAAACGTTATTGTTGATAAAATTATATACCCATGGCCATATTAAAAGTTTCATGATGGGCAATTATATTTATAATAAGACTTCGCTTTCCGCCTTGCAAATCCATTTTCACAATATTTTATAACATCACAACAAGTTAAACCTGTTGAATACATAATTCTTTCTTTGAAGCTGTTGCAAAAAGTCGTTCCCAAACTCGAAAAAACGAAAATAACCGTTGAAGAGTTACGTTTTTTTTTACAAAAATTTATATCAGTTTTACCCAAAAAATATCAGCTGCTTCTTCCTCAGTCAAACTTTATACTTCATTCCTCATTCATTTTTCAAAGCTGTCGAGAAAAGTCTTTCAAGAAGTCAGAAAAGATGTTGACGAAGAAACATGGCATTGCCGAAGTTTTTGTTTTACATGGTGGTTTTTTTACCAGAGTTTTGACAATTGCTGGTTTATCAAAGATCTTTACGTTAAATACATGATTATTTTTTGCTAAGCTCTTTAAAAAAGTCGTTCAAGAACTCACAAAAGACGTTAACGAAATGAGGACCGTTACAGAATGGCATTGCGGAAATTTTCGTTGCACAAGGTCGGGTTTCTCTTGGCGATTTGTTGCCTCCAATATTAACTGCTTTTATGTCCATCGTTTGTATCTTTACTGTTTACTGAAATAACTGCCGAAAGTTTGTGTAAGAACATGTTACATGTTACATGTTCGTTCGCTGAATCCCGGCTATCGAGCTCATATAAATAGTCCCTAAAACTAAAGGTAAGTTTATGAAAGTAATCAATTGCATACATTGCCGTTGACTATGGACTTTGCATTTTCTCACATCTTCATGCCAAAGACTAGAATTTTGCATTTTCACACACTTTCACGCCAAAGACTATAATCTTTCATTTTACACACTTTCACATTGTCGCATGGAGATTGAAAATTCTTTAAAAGGGACAACATATAATGCCAGCTGATAGTTGAATAATAAAATAAAAAAATACATTGTAATGTAATTTTTCTATCCGGTTCATTCCTTTGATGTGTGCAAAACTGGCTGGTCAGCATTCATTTACCATTGAAGACCTTTGTATAATTTCAATGTCTGTCACTACGCCAAGCCCACAGGTGCATGGAAAATTGTTAGCTACGTTGATGCAAGCACAAAGGATTTTCCAACATTGAAAATTTAATGCACTAGTGAGGTTAGCACAGTGATTGGGTTTCGAAATTTTACAGTAGTTTAATTGCCAAACGTCGTTTTTATATACACCCTGTAGAATGCTAACTAAAAGAGATCAAATGTTAATGCTAATAAATACAATAAGAAAATGAGATGAGATAACAATCTAGAGGGTTTATCAAATCATTTTTGACATCAGTGACCTTTAGAATTTGCATGATTCAGCTGTAGTTGTTCCCCAAGGAGACTTTAATGCTTGGGATTTGCTATTTGCAGTAGTTAAAGTATACGTTTTTATTTATATTGTATTAAATTGCATTTACCGCTCTATGGGGATTAATTACTTCTAAGTGATGAATCATGCAAATTCTAAATTTCACAATGTACAATTGACGACACACCTAGTAAATGACCAATCAGAACACAACAGTTTACAACACGCCTAGTCACTGACCAATCAGAATACAGCACGTTCGTGAAACTTGGGCCATAGTCTAAGACTAAGAACGTGCCATTTGAACGTGAAAGTCTGTAGTTGCACGAAGAATAGTTAGCCGAAGTCAAAATTATTCCAAGGTGAAATATATCTTGGAGTGCTTTGAAAAAATGTTCAGGTAAATGTCTTGCTTCATGTTCTTTTGCATTGATTAAACATTGAATTGGGACACTGCATGTGATGTTCATTAATGCAAAGTGCAGGGTGGCCTTTCCATAAAGTTTTCGTCTTAGTAACTTTTGTTTCCTCTATGCTTGATTTTAGACATGGACATTCTTCTCTTAAACGACAATTAGTCATCAAATGAGGTTGAGAAACAACGAACAAATGTTGGTGTATTTACCATGATCGTAGACTCCACAATTAAAGAAAGTGGTTATTGTTCACAGCGGTTGAAGAAAATTGTGGCTGTTGTCGACCAGCTCCTCGACGCTCATCTAAACATAAGAACAAAATACAATTCTGTAATTTGGTTGAAATTCTTCTTCCCTTGAACTACATTACGAGTGAATAAAATGCTCAATGTAAGTATGTTATCAATGTTTTTCATTTATGGAAGTATAGTGTAAACTGACATTGGCTTCAATTGTCCTATGTAGAAACCTTCTGATCAAGAATGGACAATATACGTACTTTAATGAAATGCTCTGAACAATGATCAAGAATGGACAATATCAAATGCCCAAATTTCAACATTACTTAATTGAAAATTTTTGTATTAAAAACATGGAATTTCTTTAACATGAAATTAAAAAACCTAAAATTCCTAATTTTCCGACTGGCTGTCAATATTTCCGTTTTAATGCCGTAGACGACATTCACAGTTGCAAGAAATGGCCAATCTTGTTTCTGTGTTTGCCGTCGTCGACATAAAAGCGGTGATGTTTGTCAAGTAGCCTGAAATTTGGATACGATGGTTTCACCATCAACGTTCTGAATTTTTCAAAAAATTATTTTGGGCTTTTTTGTGGCTGTCCTTGCTCAACATCCGATCGTTTCATCTTCACAATTGGCATGAGATTTGTCATTCATCGTAGTCTGTCGTCGAACTGCCAAGGATTCGTCGAAAACCGTAAGTGTAATAATAATAAACCTTTTATTTAGTTAGGCCTGTTAACAGGTCAGATCTCTAATATAATTTGGGCAATAGCCACAACAAATCCTGGTGTTCAGTATATTCCACTGTAAGGCTATTTTTTTAATGCAGGAATAAAAATAAATATATTTAAAGAAATTTGCATCTGCATTTTCAAAAATAGTCTTGATTAAGAGGTAATAAAAGTGTTCTTTTGGTTAAAATAATCCAATTGTGTTTATCGGTGCTGCTTTAATTCTTTTTTAAATTTGTGTCTTAGTAAGCGTTGATTTATATCAACTATTTTAAGTATGTGACTGGCATGCAATAATTGTGATTTTCTTTATAATTTACCTTCGAAAAACCTCTGTGTGAATATACTGCTTTAAAGAGCTATGCATGATCGCAGCGGCTGTTGCCTCGCAGAAGGATAGGCAGGACCATAGCTTAGACTCGGAAATGCAAGTGAAGTTTGGCCCAAGGAAGGCAACTTCAACTTGGGGTCAGTGGGTACAAATGGTACCTTAGCGAAGAGGATGCAAATAGCATCTATAACAAGACCTTTGAAGACTGGATCAAGCGAGCAAGGTTTATTGAAGACCAAGGGAAGATGGTGGTTTTGGTGGAAAGAAAAATATCTCTCCCCTAGTACGGTAAGAGCATGCAGTCGTTGTATTTGGCCAATTTCATGAACGGCTTTCTACATTGACTATTAAAGTGGTTATATCACGAATTTTAGCCCCCCTTTTTTATGAGCTTAATTGAAAATTTGGATTATTTGAAGAACTATGACATGTCGCTGGACTTAAACTGATAAATATAAGTTGCTTAACTTTGCCTCCAAAGTCGGGTACTATTTGCGAATTTTTTACGACGCCATATTGATACTTGTGACGTAGATAGTTGAACACGTCTGTTTCCGTCAATATAATATTATATTATAGAAGGTGATTTTGTTGTCGTTTTTCTTGTCTTAAAAACAAATAATGACAGTATTTTCAATAAAATATTAAAAAACAAGTTTTCCGGAAAGTATGGCCTCAAATCAGTGCTCAGATAATTCGAATTCGATGTCTGAATGCGTATCTGATTCGAGCTCGAAATCCGTGGGTTATGTCAAGCACTTAAACGACTTCGCATATGACAATGAACCGCTAGCAGGAGATGGTGATGAAGTGCATACTCCAGATGATCCCGATGAAATTCTCCCTGCGACATTAGAACAACGAAGTGATGGCGTAATTCCACTTGGTGAATGGTAAGTTGCTGTTTTCTCCTGTTTGCAATATACATAAAGTTACTTTATAAACCAGAATGCTCCCACGTTTCAGGTGTAATTGTCAATGTTGTCATACCGATTTGTTAGAAGGCGCATTAGAGCACAGATGCTGTAAGGAAATTGGACCAGCTTTACAGAAAATGACATTCGATGGCAGCATTGAGAAAATATCATGCATAACACAGCATGCCAAATTTGGGCCTTTAGTTCATGAGGCTGTCCTTGAAAACGTCGGGCCACTATTGAGAGATAGGAATGGACGTGCTTATCGCCGCCAAGCATCACAGTCATTAAATATGTAAGATTGTAAATTGTATGAGAAACAATATTATAATCAACATTGTGTCATCAACAATAATTAGTCCAACCTTTTTATTTACTTTAGGTACTTGAGAGCTGTGGCATACAGATGGTTGATGCGATGGTTTTGTGGGTCTATGGGATGGGAGAATACTCGGCCTTTACCTGCCTGTGTTTACCACTTTATTCGAATAGCATATCCAAGTGGTAGCACAACAGGTTACATACCATCAGAGGGGCAATGATGGAATAGTCTTGTGCACTGTAGAGACTGTTGACCTTCTTTGCTGAGTTTGGAATGGTCAGGAAATATGCCTAGATGAAAACCAAATAGGAGATACATGGATGCACAATATAAGTTGACATGCAGTTTAATGGTTTGAAACAAGAGTAAACAATAAAAAAAATCGGTGCAACTACTGAGAGGTTAAGCTGAAAGAATTAAATGAAAGAATATCTTTTCTTCAATGTCAGTCTGGGAAAAAAGACAAAAGAAAAAATATACGGAATTAAATCATAGCATAAATGTAAAAATGGAAAATAGCAAGCCGTTCAAATGGCGAATCATTTGCTTCCCCAGTGCATACTTAAACATGCTCAGCTTCATCACTAGTAGATGGTACTTCCTCATTGAGAGAACATGTTTCCTTCAGCGATGGCTTATGGAGAGTATGCCGCATAATCTACAAAACTTATATCGAATTTACTTATGACAAAAGAAAAATTAACATAAACAAGCGTAAACCTACTTGTCTTTCGATCGGTTATTTCGTCCTGTAATGGTTCAGGAATCCCAGCCACGTAAACGGTTGGGAAAGCATCTTTCTTCAACCTTGTTTTGAGCTTGACTTGCACGCTCAAATTTAGGTCAAAACAAGAATCTTCAAAATGCGCAGAACACAGACACGAGGTAGAGGAAGCCTCAAAACCCGGTCTATGTTTACGCACAAAATTTACCCATTTTCTATGTATTTGCGGCTCTGTTTCTTTTTTAAGAAACAGATGCATCGACATTCCTTCGGTTTTTGAATCATTGGCGCAACTAATTTGATTAGGTCCGCAAGCAACACAGCGTTTTCCTCCGCGTTTCTTATTAAGATTACTAGTAGAATACGCCATGTTGACATATGTGTTCAACTTTCTACGTCACAAGTCATTAGAATACCGATCAAAAAGTTCGCAAAAAAAATGCTGAAAATCGTGAATTTGAACGTCCGTAAAATCACTTTCACCAATCCAATTTCAATTATAATTGCAGATTTAAAATCACTGAAACAAGGTCTTTCAATTTAGCTAATAAAAAAGTTGGGCTAGAATTCGTGATATAACCACTTTAAGGCACTCCTGCATGGATCTCCTATAATGCATGAGTAGTTCAACCCACCCGGTTGGAGGTCGCCCGTAGGTGCAACATGCACTAGGTTAAGTTAAGTTAAGGGCATGATGGGTTACCTCTTTAGATGGGCATTCCTTTTCAGGGCAGAATTCCGGTGCCATGCGCAGGTAGGAAGTTTAGATAGCTTAGGCATGCGCTGTAGTTGCAGCGAGTAGTTGCTACGCTTAGATAATGAGTATGGGGTTAGAACCTTTATAAATTTAAAGGATGAACTCCACTATCAAGAGAAATGACCAAAAATTTTCAAAATCTTTCGAAGGAAACTTTAATGTTATCAATCATTTTCAAATCGACAAATTGAAACTCAAATAGTCTTCAGTTTGTCAAGACATTTACAGATTAGGAGCGGCGTGGCAATTACTGTAAATGTAAAAAAGGATATGTTGTTTTCTTATTAAGAAAACTTCATTCCTGGGAATTTCGATGCGGCAAGCCACAGCAAAAACAGGCATAAAAAATGTTTAGTACACCAGGTCTAAGTATGCGGAATGGCTTTATATTAACCAAACTAACACGAAACATAGTTTTAATAAAAGGACAATGTTTGTTTTCTTTGATGGTTACCATGAAGACAAACCGCAGACGTTGTCACATATGATACAAAATAGTTACACGATGGTTTCCATGTTCACCATTCGCGTTGCTATGTAGTCATCTATGGGATAATTGTCAAACTAAAACATAACTTAAATCAAGCGCTGCCCGTTGTTTGGTTAAACCATCCACGGTCCCTCGGTAACCAAACTCAACGTGTGCTTCTTCAAGTGTTCTAAATTGTTTCAAAAAATATTAAATTTCGTCTGTCTGCTTAAAATATTTTGAAGTACATTTATCTAATCCATGTCATGCAGCAAGCGCTTGCTTCAACTTTAAGCGTTAGTGGCACCGGGTGCGCAAAGCACTGAATGAAACAGTGCAAAATAAGGACTGCTAAGGTGGCGCTAGGTGCGACTGATTCGGATGTGGATTAGATAAGAAAAACACACGTTAAATGAAATTCCCATCCAAATTACACAATTTTCTCGTCCAAAGTAGAAAATTGTCGAGTTCGCTGATCGGTTTACGTGCGGTAAAACTAAAATGTGGCGGTTTGTACGTAAGTTGTATGTACGTTAAAAATGGCGAATTATATCCATAACTAAAATACTTAAAAGATTTTTGGACTTGAAGGTGTCTTTTGAGAAATTGATGGTTTTTTCTTTTTTTTTGGTATTTGCATCGTTGCAAAGGTAAGTAAAGATTTTTGTTTCTAAGGGTCCACCGGGGCGCGGAACTTCGGCTGAAATCCCTAATGGTTTTTTCCTCTTCAGTATTCTCCAAATTCTCGTGCCGTTGTGTTCGGTTTTGGTTCATACCGTTCAGGTTTTTCCATTAGGGATTTTTTATTTCGGTTAAGTCATAAAAAAAAAACAGTGACCTTGGTGTGGGACTAAACATGTACTACTTGTCATATACAACCATGGCACAAAAAGAAATGCAATTTGAAGGCTATGGATGCTTAGCTGAGCGAACCTAGGGTCTATCAGCTAAAATTTACAGCCATCTTCACTTTCGTTAAAAAAACAACGTTATGTTTAAGGTATTCTGCATTTTAGAACAGTTTGGGGGATTTCAGTTTAATCATTTTTTATATTTATTTACTTAACACTTATTGTAAATGTGAAAGTTAAACTTGCATGTATTTGGAGCGTAAAGTTGGATATTTAAGCATTTTAATGCTAAACCGGCATTATAAAAAAGCTGATAGTTGTTTATTGTTTGTAACTTTAAATGGTGAAGTGTAATTGAACGACAAAGATCTTGAACTGTTTTTGTCTATTACGATCAAGCAATAACTTACCAAATTTGAGCTTCGAAATTTCGACAAAGATCAAATTTTGGATCTATAAAATATTCAAAATACGTTCAATAGCCAAAATCGTCTGAACTTTCCAAGAAAAAAAACAGCCCAACTGTGGGGTATCTTCAAAGAGCTAAAAATTTAGTCTTTGGGTTCGATTCCCAATACACTGTTTTTTAGTATATGTGCAATCAAATTGTCAAGTTTGGATTAAATCCGTGTCGGATGATCCATGATATAAGGAAGGAACTTTTAACTTTTAAAGAATCTTTGCAAGAAGCAACATGTTAATCAGATTGAAGATCATGGAATCGGGTAAAGATTAAGGATTACAAAATAGCAGTCCCAGTCTCCCAACGCTCTCGTCTAAATCTAAACAATAGTATGAAACAATATTGAAACAAAGCAAAGAAAAGACTTTACGTTTTTATTAGTTGACTAAGTTGAGGGAAGCTTAGTACTTTCCCCGTGTTTCAAAAATTCATTAAACTACGGTGAAGTAAACATATTAAAATGGCTCTTGAAAATACGGTCCAATTATCCGAGAAATACGAAGCAGTTATGGTTCTCAGTGGAGTGGGGGATGCTCTAGGTTATAAGAATGGTTTGTGGGAATTCTGTTACAGTGGTACTCAAATTCATGAAGAACTAGAAAAACTCGGAGGACTTGATAAAATTGACATTAAAGGATGGAGGTTTAGTGACGACACTGTACTACACATTGCTACAGCAGAAGCGTTGGTTTCTGAATGGACAACAACGGAAGAGTTATTGAGCATTATGGCTACAAAGTACAAGAAGACATGTGCTGAGGATATGTGGGAAAGAGCTCCTGGACAGACCACAACAAAGGCATGTTTCATGTTACGACCTCTTGAGGAAAAAGGTTACATTATACCATTTAATGAACGAGGTGGCGGATGTGGTGCAGCAATGAGATCCCTGTGTATAGAATTGATGTTTCCTTGTGAAGATCAAACTGAAATGTTAATTGAAATTGCTGTTGAAAGTGGAAGGATGACTCATAATCACCCCACAGGTATTCACCTTTCATAATAAAGCAACGATTTCAGATCATGTATCAATTATCAAGTCACTAATGTCTAGTGTTTTGTTTATCAACAAGTGTTGCTTTGTATAAAGTTTGCTAGGTATTCCTGTTATCTGCATTGCTTTTCATTTTAACAAACCTTTATCGTAATTTAGCTTTTCAATCCTTTTGCTTTGCTTAGATGTTATATCTTCAACTCTTCCTTCGATTACTTACTTGAGGAAGCCATTACCATGAATGTTTCATATCCTTTTATCTAATATCAATTTATACATGAAATAAAAGAAGGTTGACCTTAGGTTTGCATAAGTCTATGCAATCCATCATTTTCTAGAACCACATCTCAAATGCCTCCATCCTTCTAACATTGCTCACTTTAAATCTTTGATCCATCCCTTTTATCGCTTTTCCACATTTCCAAATTTCTGTCTTCCAAAAGCTGTATGAATTGCCATTGCTGTTTTACTTTAGTATCTTCACTACTACAGCCATTCAATCCATGATCCATATCAAAATTCTGCTATTATGTAAATAGGGTCATCATAATGTAAGTGACATGAAATTAGCAATCTTTAAAGATAATGATTTTAATTATAGGTTATCTAGGGGCTGTTACTGCAGCTGTATTTACAGCCTATGCTATACAGAAGATGGCTCCAGAAAAATGATGAGCAGGACTTTTAAGTGTTTTACCCAAAGTTTGGGAATACATTGAGAAGGTTGGTCGTGATGTAGAAGAACACAAGAAATCTTGGGGCTACTTTAAAAACAGTTGGGAGTCATATCTTGAACTACGGGGATAGTAGTAATATACATGGGAATACGAGAGCACAAAGTGCTCTCATATCCCCCATGTATATTACTACTTTTAACCGTGGATAAAAACTATCTTTATAACAGCGTAAAATAAGACCATGGTCCAAAGACGTCCCTCTGGCAAAAGGTCATGTTAAAAAGCTGTGTAAAAATAGTCATTGTTTCAAATGGGTAAAAACTATCTTTATAACAGCGCAAAATAAGACCATGGTTCAAAGACGTCCCTCTGGCAAAAAGGTCATGTTAAAAAGCTGTGTAAAAATAGTCATTGTTTGAAAGGGGGGTAAAAATCTCGAGGTTACAATCTATTGTTTAAAAATATGGAATCTATATGTTTTTGAAATATATAGGTGCGTTTAAATTTTACAAACGGTCTTTACAAACAAATGTTAACAAGCATCGGTTCGGAGAGCATTCGGCAGCACAGAGCATAATGCAAGATCATGAAATGATCTTGCTCAGATGCTCGAGCAGGGGAATGGAATGCTCGAGAATTCTGGAACCCCTGGTGGGGAAAATTTTCACGAAGTGAAAATTCGGGGTTCCCCCATACATTCGATGAATATTCGAAGAATATTCGAGAATAACAGAGGCTTAAAAATTGCTCTTCAAAAAACCGTCTTTAATAATCAAGTGTTAATAATCAAGTGTTAATAATCAAGTGTTAATAAAGCATCTTTTTAAATCGTTGTTAGGGGCGAAGAATTTCAGGCAACTAAGCCTGAAATTTTGAGCGCAACAATGTTATAGATGCTCTTTACAAAATATGGAATCTATATGTTTTTTTAATTTGTCTATCATGTACATGGTTAACAATGTTTTATATAATTTTTGTTAAAAGTGTTTTTACTAATTGTTTCAGGATTTTGAATTTTTTGTATATCGCTTTTGTATTAATTACTTGTTACAAACAGCTATGTGAAATGTAGTCAAACATGAGCATTATTCTTCACCTTCATCTTTAGGCTTAGCTTGATAGTTATCTTTAATAAATTTTTTTAATTTTTCGATTTCATCATTTACATATTTTTTAGTTGCTAGAATATTATCTTCTATAGTTGCCGCAAAATTTGATGAATAACCATTATATATCATAGACAATGTAGATTGATGTTGTGAATAAACTTGTATTTTGGATAATCCATTAAATGCTTTATTCCATTTTATTGCCCATTCATTATAATTAATTGAAGCTGTAGATACTTTTGGTGCAATAATAATAGAAATATTGTTTATATTATCATCAACACAGTATACGTAATATAAATCTAGTAGTGCATCAGCTATCTTTTTTTCATTATCATTTGTTATTTTAATTATAAATTTTTTATTAATCTTATCTACCATAATATTTAATTGAATTGTTTTGGAATTATCAGATGTATTTATAAATAGAAGCGTAAATTTAATAAATTTAATATTGTTAAAAATAATATTTATAATATCTTTTTGGCTACTAACATTTGAGTTGAAATTTAATTGGTTACTATGGTGTACAATTTTATTTTTTACTAAATTATCTATTTGAGTTTTATTATAATAGTGGTCATTAAATTTATTATCAACTTGAGTTTTATTATAATAGTTATTTAAATTAGAAGGCAAAGCATACTAATTATCTGATTCATTCTTGGTATAGAATTTGGATAAATTAGAGGTCAAAGCATACTTACCATCTGTTTCAGTCTTTGTGTAATATTTATTTAAATTAGAACTTAAAGCATACTTACCATCAGCTTGTGTTTTAGTATAATAGTTAGTTAAATTAGAAGTCAAAGCATACTTGCCATCAGCTTGTGTTTTAGTATAGTAGTCATTGAATTTACCATCAGATTGTGTTTTAGTATAATAGTTATTTAAATTAGAAGTCAAAGCATACTTACCATCTGTTTCAGTCTTTGTATAATATTTATTTAAATTAGAACTTAAAGCATACTTATTATTTGTTTCATTCTTGGTATAATAGTTGGCTAATCTTGAAACAAAAACATATTTATTATCAGCTTGTGTTTTAGTATAATATTTTAGTAAATTAGAAGTTAAAGCATACTTACCATCAGTTTGTGTTTTAGTATAGTAGTCATTAAATTTACCATCAGCTTGAGTTTTAGTATAATAATTATCTGATAGATGTGTTTTATCTACAGATCCTTGTATATTTACATTAATATCTGTTTTATCATGCCCATAAAATAAGCTCATTTATATTATTCCTCAGATTTTATATCAGCTTTATTATTTTTATGTTTGTAAACATGATTACCTATTATTATACAACCAGATAGGACTCCTAAAAAAGGTAAGATTGGTGATATTTTTTCTACTAAACTGTACACATCTCGTTTTAAAAGGTCGTCTGATTTAAGCTGTTTTGTTAATTCTTTGGAGTCTTCAATAGCATCAAACCCTTTTAATATATCTGAAAATTTTGATATAACTAAATCAGTTAAAAACTCATTAGCTTTTTGTAATCGTTTTTTCTCGTATTCAGTGTACAATTTATCAATAATTTTTTGGCTAGCTTTTTTAATGTAAGCAACTGACTTGTCTAAATTACCATCTTCAGCTAGTTTAAGTAATTGATCTCTTTTATTAAAACCCTCTTGCGGTTTATCTTGTATATTATCATCACATACAGCATCTTTGATAGTATCATTTGCGGAATCAATCTCATTAATTATATCATCAATTTTTTCAGGCTCTTTACGCTTTGGCATATATATATTAACACATGTTTTATTGCGGAATAACAATTTTCCATTGGTATGGATATATGAGTTGAATAAATAGATGAGCAAATTTATTATTTTTCAATTTTTTGGTTATTTCTTCTATATCATCTTTATTAACACCATAAAGATAATCATCAAATATTGTTTTCATATCATTGCGGTTTGTATTATAAAATGTAACTAAATAACTTATATTTTCGCGATAAGGTTTAGAAATACTAGTCAATTGCTGTGTCACCACAATAGTAGAAAGACCATAATGGCGAGCACTGAATGCTAAACGAACTAATTCAGATGTCCTATTTTTAATGTCTAATCCACTTGCGCAATCATCGAGAATAATAAGACTATTTGTACCTTTATATACATCACTCACATATTTTAAAACAATATCTACCTGATCTTGGTCACATTCTACCTTAATTAAATCAGAATCATTTATATGTTTCCATTCTTGGTAGGTTCTATTATATGATAATGTGGGGCATACTAAAATAATATAATCAAAATGGTTACTAAAGTTTTCTTCTAACATTCTTAAAAGAAAGAAGGTTTTGCCGCAAGCAGTCATGCCTAAAATAATCATATTAAAGGGTGTGTTCATTTATATATTACTGGTTATTCTAGTATTGAATACTTTGGAGATCATTATTTACAAATTGAACAAGAGCATCACTAATAACATAAATGTAACAGTTTCAATCTTTTGTATATGATTTTTTCTTAATTTCAAGCAAAATGCCGTTTTGCGTATTCATGATTCGTTTTCCGTTGCCAGCAATATTTTTTTCTTGAAAGGTGCGTAAATCGATAACTAAACTGAATTTATCCTTATAGAATTTTTCAATTGTCATGAAGCAATCTACCGGAATAGTTTGATCAAAAAATTTTCTTGCTTCCTCATATAATACTTTTTTATTCATACCTTGAGCGAAAACCATATTAGGCACTCCCTCAATAGTTATTTTGACTTCATCAATTAATGGGAATTCAAATTTTTCACTATCACTAATTGAATTTTCTGTGAATAGTAGTACAATACCATTCATGCTTTTACGAGGTACATTAACATTAACATTCTGTAATGTACTTGACTTATACCATTTTTCCTTTTTTAAGAGGGTTATATGTTCATAAAATAGACTTCTTCCTATAGAATATAAATTTGTCACCTCATCAGCAAGTTCTTGATTATCAATAGTTTCATATTCAAGTTGAATATTTTCTAATTCATAATTTCCTATAGTTTGACCGCTTTGGGGGATAAGGATTTGATCACTTGACGGTAATGTTATTATGTATTGGAAGTTATTATTCATATTAAAAGGGCAATAGAGACCATGGTCTTTAAGAATATTATCAATATTAATTTTCTGTCTTGTACCATAAATATCATACATTAATTTGTCTGCTACTTTTTCTGGACTCCCACTTGTTGCACCACTATCATCCTTTGAAATGAGTTTTCGTAAATTCTGGTTACATATACCATATTCAATAAGGCCTTGTCGAGTACTTTTCGGTAACCATAAGTCTTTGTATACACTTATAACATTATGTTCACTACAATCGTAAAGGGTTTCTCCAGCCACTTTAATTTGTAGCCTATGCTGTAGAATCTGGCTGAGATTATTGATAAAGTGACTTTTTGTATTACTGATTTTAAGATCAAAAGATAGATTAAGTGAACCAGGAACTAAACAACTATTTGATTTTAATTTCGGTATTGTAACATAAATCTGTTCATTTGGTTTAACGCTATTAGGATTGAAGGTAATACTATAAAAAGTACGGTTACCTTTAATTTTGGTCTTAGTACTCCGTTTATAACCGGGTAAAAGCTCTTCTTGTAATCTGTTCATATATATATTAAAACATATTTTATTTTCTTCTTTGTTTATACTGATCATATATTAACAAAGCAGCAGCAATAGCTAAAATCCATAGATTAGAAGCTAACCATGCTAAACTTTTAGCCCCCCAAGATATAGTCTGAGCAATAATATTCAATAATGGTCCTAATACTGGCCATAATTTTTTACCTAGATTTGCTAAAGCCTTAGAAAATTTACTAGTAGCTTGAGCACCTTGCAGGATTGCTTTTCTAGCTCCTATAACAATGGTTGTAATTATTCCAGCCACAGATATAGCTAAAGCTGATAATCCTGGTATGTTTTCTTTAACCCATTCTT